GAATAGAAGTCTAAAGAATACATAATCATTAAGATATGTGGGTGATTATATGCTGGGTTAGTTTATAGTGCATGAAAAATAGTTCACTTTCTGCAAGGTATTGTTTGAGGGGCACCAAACTTCCCTCTGATCTTCAAATCAAACTCCTCCCATCTCTCATACTCAAAATGTGTTTTTAAAAAGCCAAGATTATTGAGGTGTTTCTTTGAGTTATGATATTCTTCTAGCTGCTTGCAGACAAAATGCAAAAATCCCAAGAGACAAAAACCAATCGCCTCCACAGTGTGCTTATGAGTTAACAAACTTAACTTGAAAGTAGAGGGTGGGTCTGAGGGAATGACTCTCTTAGGGCAAAGAAATTTGGATGGGAAGGGAAGTGGGATTTGAGGGATAGCAAGATAGGTCCAGAGTCTGAAACTGTGGGACCTTGGGAAGCATAACAAAGTAAGGCCCCAGAAGGATGAGAAAAAGTGGTGTATGGAGGTAAAAGGCCCTGTAGTTCCTAATTTTGCTACTGGTCTCCCAGAGATGTGTGTGTGTGTGTGTGTGTGTGTGTGTGTGTGTGTGTGTGTAATTTAGCTGCAATTATTCTAAAATGCAAGGGCTTACTTAACCACTATGCTTTTCCTCCCAGAGTGGTTATAAATTTCCTGTCCAAGTGAGGTTATATTTTCTGGTTTCTCTCCCCCACTGTCCCTCCTTTTATTTTCAGTTGTTTGTAAGGCACTATTTCCCCAACTGCCCCACCCCCAACCCCCAGATAATTTCTCCTCTGGTCCCTTCTTCTAGGCTTGCCTTTTCTCTCCAGCAGCATCCAGAGCCAATAAATTATTATCTCTGAGATTTGGTCTGGGACACTGGGGATCCTGGGTGCCACAGATGGACAGATGAGCTTATTACAGAAATCATTCCCAAAGGTTCTTCTAGAAATAACACAAAAGGGTCAGGAGAGCAAGGAGTATGTTGGCCACCTCAGGCAGCAAAGGGATCCAAAGCACAGCACCTGCAAATGGTAAGTGTTGCAGGCTCCTCTCATTGACTTCCTGTTCTTGAGCAAGAGAACTGGAATTAAAAAGTTCCAGTGTATTTTTTTCCTGAACAAATACATTTGCAAATGTTATTCATGCTTCCCTTCAAGGCCCTGAATTTCTCTTTACAGTCAAATAGCCATTTATCTAAATTGATCTAATCTTAGGCTTTTTGCAGAGCTGGGTAAGTCTCGTAAAGGCAGTGGTAGGGTTTAGAATGAGTGTATGGTTGTGGGTGGCAGTCCCTTATCAATTGCGTTAAGAGACAGAATTTGAGGAGAGGAAGAAGCCAGTCAGCAAGCCCCAAAACAACCATTAGTATTTGTTCAGCACTTGGCAGTTTTCATTTTATCCTCACCTGAGGACATTTTTTTTTTTTTTTTTTTTTGGTACATGCCCCTAGCGGGAACCGAACCCGGGACTCTGGTCTGCAGGCCGATGCTCCAACCGCTGAGCCAAACCGGCCAGGGCTTTTTTATTTCCCTGAGGACATTTTTGCATTTATCTTCAGATAGAGCGAGAGGGAGAAAGAGAGGAAGAGAGACAGAAACATTGATGTGAGAGAGACACATCGAGTGGCTGCCACCCACACAACCCCAAACGGGGCCGGGGACAAACTGCAACGGAGGCATGTGCCCTTAGTGGGAACCGAACCCGGGACTCTCTGGTCTGCGGGCTGATGCTCTAACCGCTGAGCCAAACTGGCCAGGGCAGCACTTGGCAGTTCTCAAAATATTTTCACATTTGTCTTATTTGATTCTCACAGTCATCTGGTGGGGCTGATAAGGCAAATCTCCATTCAACAGCCAAACAGTGAGGTCACAAAGCACAGCAGGGACAGAATGGCCTTACAATAAGGATCTCCTTTGGGTCTGGGACCAGGATTTACACCTTAGAGACCACCACAGCCTTTGTCAAACAAGAGTGGGAGGTGATATCCAGATGTTTGGAGTGTCCAAAAAGGTAGGGAAAGGAAAAACAAAACACATGAAATTGACCTACAATAGACTAAAATACATTTTATGTATTATCAAATCATGTTCAAAAGTGGTTCTGCTGGAATGCCTTCTCAATTATCTGCTCAAATATCTGAGATAGGACTGTGCCCCCCTGTCTCAACTCATTTTTATTGCCACACCCCATTCCCAGATTCTGCCTAAACATTAAATAAACGCTTGCTTTCTTAGCTCTGAACTTGGAGTGCAAGATGAGGAATGGGAGGAAAACAGTAGTGCCTTTTTTGGTCCTCCATAAATATGACACACCTGAGGAGGAAGTTTTTGATTATTTCTAAGTCAGGGGAACAACACTGACACATGGCACCACTAACTGAAACCAACCCTTCCCTCCTATTAGAAAGTGATAGTGGAAGTATTATGCTTGCTCTATTTTTGTGTTTTCCAAGCTGCTGGTAGAATCGATTAGGAAGCTGTAAAAATCAACTCAGCAGGCTATGACCAGCATTAAAAAAATTAATAGAAAATGCCAGAAACATATTGCAAACACAGTTGAGCCTTGAACTGCATGTGTCCATTACATGTGACTTTTTTCATCTTGTAAACAGATGATGTAAACTTACAGTATCAATACAGTATGGTGCTGTTAAAGTATTTTGTCTTGTTCAATTTTCTTAACATTTTTTCTCTAGCTTACTTTATTGTACATATATAATACATACAGTATATAATAAATACAGTATATAATACATACACAAGTATGTTAATCGACTGCTGTCGGTAAAACTTCTGGTCAACAGTAGGCCATTAGGTTTTGGGGGAGTCAAGTTATACATGGAATTTGGACTGTGTGGGGTTGGGGGTGGATGGGTTGGTGCCCCTAACCCTTGTGTTGTTCAACAGTTAACTGTTTTACTTTGCACATGACTTTATTAGTTATATTTTTGCATCTGTGTAGTGAGTTATGACATTTGATACTTCTGTGAGATAAAGCAAAACTTTGGAAAGCCACTTATATAGAGGTGGGATATACCTCAATCCTATATCTAGGCTGTATCCTAAGACCCTCCATCTAATATATTTTTTCAATACTCATTTCCCTTTTTGGTACTTCTCTAGGGAGCAAGGCTGATCCATAATGCCCGCTAACAGTCATTGAGAAATCTTTTGTATAGAAAGTTTCATTTGGCAAAGGACAAATAATACAGCACAGTTTGACAGCAAGTGTTTTGGTGAAATATTTTTATTTTTCTAAATTTTTTTCTTTATTGATTTTTAGAGAGAAAGGGAGAGGGATAGAGAGATAGAAACATCGATGAGAGAGGACATCAATTGGTCGTCTCCTGCATGCCGCCCACTGGGGATTTGGGGATTTGGCCCACAACCTGAGCATGTGCCCTGACTGGGATTCAAACCGGTGACCTTTTGGTCCATGGGTCGATGCTCAACCAATGAGCAACACCGGCCAGGCAAAATATTTTTATTGTATAGAGCCAACTGTTAAATCAAAAAGCCAATACGCCTATCATTTTCTCCTAAACGTGTTATGTTTAAAGCACATCCATATTGTCTTTTCTCCTCTGTAATAAATCAGATTTCAACAAAAATCAGTCAATGAAGCCCCCTCTATCAAATTTCCTGCCTTACTAGTTTCAGGCAAGTAAATCCAGCAACATTGTAGAATAAAAGAAGTCATGATCTGGCTGGTTTGGCTCAGCAGTTAAGAGCGTTGGTCCACGGACCAGAGACCCGGGTTCGGTTCCTGATAGGGGCATGTACCTTGGTTGCAGTGTGTCCCTGGCCCCGGTTGGTGTCACGTGGGTGGCAGCCAGTCGATGTGTCTCTTTCACATCGATGTTTCTCTCTTCCTCCCTCTCTCCCTCTAGCTCTGAGGATGAATGCAAAAATGTCCTCGGGTGAGGATTAAAAAAAAAAAGTCATGCTACATTTTTGGTTTTGACTTTTGCTCCTTTCCCAAACACTGCACTTACTTACCCTTTAACCTCATTGGGACTACCTTTTTAAACACACCATGTATTATTAGGTAGCTTTCAAAACAGGAAAATGACTCCTATTCACCTAGGCACATGCATGCTTATAAATAAGTTCTATGGCTCTTCCTGCCATGAGATAGTCATAAAATATTAATAATTAGGTGACAGAGTTTGAGTCATGAATTACTAGCATCTTAAACTTATAGGCTTTTACTTACACGAATGCCTACAAATTTAGACCTAAGTCAATGTACTTCACCAATCTATGATAACATCAACTATTAGACTCAACAGTAACCTTTGTACCACCGAGAACACAAAGCTGATTAAACTATCATTTAGCATCAACTTATGATCCATTATCAATTTCAAGGATACAAAAATGTGAAAAAATGTGTGCATTTTTGAAGACATGAAATATGGTAGTTGATTTTAAGGGCTATTGACTCCTCTCACTCCAAGTTTCTTTTGACATTTAAAAATTTTTTTTTTACTGATTTTTTTGAGAGGGAGGGACATAGAAACATCAATGTTACATCCATCAGCTGCCTCCTGCACGCCCCCTACTGGGAATCAATTGCACAACCAGGGCTTGTGCCCTGATTGGGAATAGAACTGGGATCTCTCAGTCCATGGGACAATGCTTAATCCACTGAGCCACACCAGCCAGGTTTTGACATATTTTTAATGTAAAGTTAAAGAAACCATACTTTTTGGAAACTAACTGTATTTTGGTTTCACTGCCTACCAAACAGCATTTTAGCTTGTTTCTCAAGGTTAAAATTTCAACGTCTCACCAGAAACTTCACTGCTATGTCAAATGGGTAATCTTGGGAATGCGAATATTTGGTAGGAAAACAGGAAGAATAGGTGGGCTGGAGAAAAGACAATGTCCAATTTATCAAACACTGTTTTCAACATTCTAAGTTTTTTTTCAAATTTGAAAAACCTTACCTTGTAAATATACAATTACCTGTTCTAGAGCCTTAAAAAAAATCAAAAGACCTTAAAACAAGCTTGAGAAAACTTATCAAGACAAACTTTATTTTTTTCAAGTTACAAAAATATGTGCATGTCAAAAATACAGTCTAGTCCATACAAGAGTAGTTCCAATCATTTAAAAGTTACACAGAATTTGGAAAAAGCAGTTCATACACGAGTCTTAAAACATTCAGTTCATGAATAGTATACAACCGCTCAATTTAGTTATTGCTAGTTATTTGCAGCTTTTACTTGAGACTGCTCTCCACAAGGGAAAGGGCAGTGTTTGGGCACTCTGACTACTGCTGTTAAAACTGTGGTTTTTAAAAAGCCAATCCAAAATCTGAATAAGTTCATTTTGAATAAAGTATAAGTTTTGATTAATATTACAAAAAGGAGGGGTCTAAATTTCAATTCCACTCCCTTTTCCTATTTAATTCTATTTTATTAATATATCAGAAATATAATGTATTGTTTAGAGGAAGAGTAAATGAATTACTGTTTTTCAAATGAAGTGACAAGAAACATTAACTTTGAATTGCAATGTACAAAGCTGGCATATCTAGCTTAAAAACATTAAAACAATAAATTCAAGAATGGAAAAACATTTAATGTTTAACCAAAAACCAAAGCTGTATTTCTTTCTCTTTAGATTTTGAGAGATAAAATGAATCAATTTGTTCTTTTGAAGTTTATGGGCTAATAAAGATCTGCTGCTCTCTACTTTGTTGTTAAAAAGACAAGGACTTAACTGGGACATGTCTTGAAACAAATCTATTTGCTCACAATGCCATATAAAAGAACAAATCATAAAATTAAATAATTTCAACTTTAATGAGCAAAAATAATAATGTAGTTCACAGTGTAAAACACAGAAAAGAAATCACTTACTTTGGGGGTAGATAGTACACAGGAGACTTTTGGCTTGAAGTTTACATGGAAGACTTAGAAGTTAAGCGTGTCCCAAAGAGAAAGCAATGGCTTTGTTTCCCACTTTCCTGTCAGACCCTACTGCAGGGTCAGGTTTATTGCTGACACTTTACCCCCATAAGTTCTTGAATACACTGAGACATATATTGGTGGTATGAGGTGAACTGGAATAACCCTTAAAATTAATTTTTAGAACAAAAGTGACACTCGTGACCATTTGGCAATACTTATTACCTTAATGACATAAACCCTAAAAAAGGCTACATTTTTAGGAGGTAGAAAACACGTACCAAAAATTTACCATTTGACCACCCCTCCTAACTTTTGGCCAACCTTGGATCTCTGTTATTTCTCACTCCCCATTCTCTCATTAAAGCTGTTAGTCCCACTACCATTCATTACCTCAGGTTATAAACCTGGAGCTGCCAAGAAAAATCTTTTTAAGAAGTTTTGCTTTTAAATCACTGAGTATATCCAATACTCAGGTATCACCTAAGAACATATTATCTCTCTTTAGTAGATTAATTCACTTCATAAGAACATGTCAACATAGAAAACATTAGGCAACATAAAAAAAGACCAATGAACATCTCTACCTGTGATTCTAATTATGTCAGAGTAGTATGCAAACCAAAATTAGTGATATTTTCATTGAACTGATCTGAAAAAGCCTTATACCAAAACTGTATTACATGTTTACTGAAAATAGGTATGTGTTCTACTATAAAATTAACCTAATAACAAAAAAAACCCACTCCACTTCCTCCCAGAGAGTTATGTTGTGCCGCTATCCTGCATAGTATAAAAGGATTTCATTTTTGGAATAGGCTGGGCTCACAGTGAGTATGTTAGTACAGAGACCATGTGTTTATATTACTAAATTAATATCATTAGTGAAATGTAAGGCATGTAAAAAACTAGCATTAAAGCTCTTAAGGGCAATAACCCAACTACCAGCTGCTAGAAAAGGTGCTGCTAGGAATTTAAACAATGAAATGAATTCACATAAACTGCATTGCTAAAACTAATGGACCAAAGGAGAATGGACCTTCCCCTCCTTTAGCTAGTAGCCCAATCTTGAAAACGGAAGCAATCACTTGCAATCTTCCACACAGTGTTGTCAGGAGTAGTCTGAGCGGTCAGCAGGAAGTTCTGATTGAAGAAGTGCTGTCTGTTTCCATCAAACTTCACAGTTCCACTGGTCACAACAAGAACTGTAGTCTGAGCCTGAGTAGCTTGCTCTTTCCCATACACACACAAAAAAAGAAAAAAAGGATGGTTTATATCTCTAAATAAGCAGATTTTCAGGCATAAAATACATTGCTCATAATTTAACACTTAAAAACACATTTGATAAACATTCTTTACTTTGAACATTCTCTTAAGCATGCACACCCAAAGCCAAAAAACCTAAATAGTAATTTCAAAGATACTAAAATTATTTTCCATCCAGAAAGATTTTGGGTACTCCAAAGTTTCAAAATAAAGAGCTTATATCTAGCATAGGATTTCATTGGGTTTCTAACAAGCCTTTTTCATGTTTTGCTTCTTAAGCTACTGCTGTTTTCAAGAACTGTAAAGGAAAAAGAGCCCTGGCTGGTTTTGCTCAGTGGTTAGAGCATCGGTCTGCGGTCCAGAGAGACCCGGGTTCGGTTCCCGCTAAGGGCACATACCTCGGTTGCAGTTTGTCCCCAGCCCTGGTTGGGTCGTGCGAGTGGCAATCACTTGATGTGTCCATTTCACATCGATGTTTCTCTCTCTCTCTCTCCCTCCCACTCTATCTGAACAAAAAATGGAAAAAAAATGTCCTTGGGTGAGGATAAAAAAAAAAAAAGGAAAAAGAAATTACCCTAACCTACTACTTAAGATAATTAGGACCGACTTAGAGGTTAATCTTATAAATGGCATCAGTGTATCTTATATCTAAATCTGTTTTGCCATAAGTTATCCTTTCACATAACAGAGTTTCTTCTGTGAAATTTTAATAAGTTGTAAGATAATGAAATACATTAATTAGGGATATGGTGTAATTTTTCTCTGGAGACATTTCAAGGCATAGAAGGCAACTATTTAGAAAAAAATAGATATTTGTTCCTTTCCATCAATAAAAATCACATTTAGCTTCAATTTCTCATATAACTTTTAATAAACTATAATCACACAATGCACCAAAACCTACTAATGACCTGCTGGAGTGAGAGAGATCTAAAAGAATACTAAAAGTTTAATTTCATAGTTTCATAATATTTACTTGCTCAGAAAAGTATACTCCTACATCAAAAGATGCTTGCTGCTGAGGTTAAAGCTCAGTGCTCACTGAAGTAAAACAAAGGAAGTACTTTGAAAGACCATGATCTTACCATGAACTGGTTGGCAATCTAACATATTAACCTGGAATTCACTAGAAGGCAACACCTCAAAAAAATTAGCTAGGGCTTCTAGCCCTGTAACAACATTTCCATTCCATATTAAAGTGGCCTTGTCCAGATACAGCCGGGTCAGTAGCTAAAAAGAAAGAAAAAAGGAAATATTTTTATTTCTGGGAAGGCATTTTAACACAAGTGAACTGAAAGGTTATAGGTGATATATAAGCATTTTCATAGTTCTGTCTCCATCTCTACTTCCCTACCAACTTCCACTGGAACACAACATGAACAAGGTTTAATCTTAATAAACTAGGCAGCTAAATATACCTTTTTAAAAATATTTCACTTTAGCCACAATGAGAAAACTACATCTAAACTGGAAACGAGTTTTAAAATTAAACTTCATTAAAAGAATTATTGAAGTTGTCTTTCATCAGGCCCTATGTGCACACTTGAATCCTAGTGTTTATATACATGGAGTCATTTCATGTTTGAACTATTTAATGTTGTAAGTGTTAGAAAGAATTCTTCTTTTTACTACTCAAAAAGCAGTACCATTACTTGCTAAAGCAGTTTTTAATAGGTCAAGTAAGTTAAGGCTCCACTAGGCAAAATTCAACTATTAACTTTTTAGTCACAACAGTTTTATATGTCACAGAACTATTTGTTTAATTGTAATATTTATCATGGACTAAAAGGCCAACACACATCTTGACTCTGCCCCCCCCTCCCTTTTGCTACTTTATTTTTGAAAGCAGCAAGGCACAAAAAACATCCATTATCACTTCCCTTGTCCCTGTTACATCAAACATCAGTGCCAGGAACTTCTTTTATCTTCTGCCTTAAAAAATAACTTTTTAGAGATAAGATGTTAGCTTCTGTACCTGCAATATAGAGAAAGCTCTCTAAAATACAATCTATGCTGATAAGAGACCTAGGCAAGACTGGAGCACATACTGAAATAATTACTTAGAAGATATGGCTCAGGGATAAATTACAATGAAAACAGCTGACAAAGTGATAAGTTGCTCTTTTTAAGACTAAAAAATATCCAAGTCATGTGGCTTCTGCTTGTGAGTGACAGCTACAGCTGTGAAATATAATTTAAAAATTATTTATTAATATATGCAATTAAAGGGACAAACCAGGGAACATTCCCTATAATGTCAGACTCCTTCACCAGCACTAATACTATTTTAACCAAATTGGGACTGAGAAAACATAACATAAATAAATATATGTTGGGTCCTTTGTTAAGTGCAGTATTTAAACTGATTCCCACTTATCACCCTAGAAATAAAATGAGGTTAAGAGAGGTTAGCAACTTACCCAAGGTCAGAGATAGGCAAATGCAAAACTGGTATATGATTCCAGAGTCCACATTTCCATAGTACCATACCATTCCTTCCCTCAACAATGTACTTTTCAAGAAAAGTACCAGAGTTATCACTTAAGTCAGAAGAATGGCTGGCTTAAAAAAAGAACTGGTATTTAATAAAGAGTAACAGAGCCTATAACACTCACCCGTCTTCTTTTGTCCATTGTCTCATAGTAAATACTGACAAACTCCTCAGCAGCTCTACATGCCTGGTCTACATAAGTTTTAAAATCCTACAAGAAAAATTTTATAAGTGCCCATTACCACCCCTCCAAACCCTCACAAACACAAGCCCACCAACAGAAGCTGATAATCTATTTCAATTATTTTGTAGCTGTGTACACAGTCCATATTCTTCCATATAAACTGGACATTTTAAAGGTTTAGGGCTCAAAAGTTTCCCATTTTAAAAATTGTTACTATTTTTAGGTACGTATTTTTAGGACATACTCATCCCTCATTAGTGCATTTGATATTTTTTTCTCACTTCAAATATAAATTTATAATCCTAGCTTGGAAACCGGTACTTTAATCTCCCAATATTTTACAAAACATTAACTGTAATAAAAATGTTGCAGTTTGAACCTTGAAAAAAGTGGGGGTGGAGGAATTGCCACTGAATAAATTATGAACGTGCTGAGTTCTCTTTACAAGTGAGAATGACCAAAATAAGAAGTTTTTGAATGAAAACAAAACAAAAAAGATAGAATAACAATAAAGTTCAATTGAACTACTTGAAAAATTAGGTATTTAGGAACCGTTCTCACATTACATAAAAATTCACCGGCATTTGTAAAGAATTGTGAAACCGAATTAAAGAAATGCTGTTGGGATTTTCTCCTGCAGGAAGATTAAGTACCTTCTTCCCCAGCCACTTCCCCAGCCCAGTCTACTATTTGAATTAAGAACTAGTTTCATTTCTAGCTCAGATGACGGAAAGTTATATATACAGGAAGATAAGCCAAAAAAAGGAGCTTGCAAGCCATAGACAACAGAACCTCACATGCCCGCCTCTCGCTAGCTCCCATCTCAGGGTCCTTTCCAACATCTTAAAGCGATTGCACAGGCGCCGGGGGTAGGAGTCAGGAGTTGGGGGTCCGGGATGACGGTGTCGGGACAGAGGGGGTCTGAAGAGAGCGGGCCCCGCCCCGCAGCCCGGCGGGCCAGGCCCTGATTCGCTAATTCACCACGTGATTGGCAGCCATCCCGGCCGGGCGACCCTCCCCTCAGCCACCCAAGCCCCAGCGCTCAAGCACCCTGCCGAAGGGCCCTGCACTCACCACTGCCATGGCCATCGGGGAGCTTGAAGCAGCCGGTGGAAGCAGTGGCGGCGTTACTACGTTCTCACGTGTCTGGCTCCCTCTGCTGTAGGAGGACCAAATATTAAGGAAGAAAGCGAAACCCGCCAAACGTACGGAATTCTTTCCCCGCCCATTTTCTCCCGGAAGTCGACTGGTTCGTTGTTAAAAGTATCCCGATGTTCCAACCTTAAGCCGCTTCCTTTCAGTTCCTCCGGTACCCTCCCAATCGTCTTATGTATTCATTTGTTTGGTATTTATTTAGTTTGGAAGAAAAAAAAAAAGTCACTTTGCTTTTGTAAACTGGATACTCTAACATCGCCACATCCCCAATCACAAGTCCTGAGACAAACAAAAAATAAGTATCTAAAATATCCAACAGGGGAACTCTTTGCTTTAGGAGGCGGGGCCAAGGCTACCTGAAGACCAATGAGAAACGCAGGAAAAGACATACAGATCTGTAGCCAATAGGAACAGTGGGTAGGGCTTGGAGGAGCGCGCGCAATCATACTGCGCATGACTGGCAACGAACGGTTTACAGTTCTGGAAGATTCTGGAAAAATCGATCCTCGTATTAAACTCCATCATCTCCGTAGTATTCCTAAGTAACTTTGATTTTGCACTATTCAGTGGAAAAGGCCCACCCAGTACCTCCCTTTTTATAGACCTAAAATGAAGACTACTGTAAAGTACTATTTGCCATTTTCCACAGAAAACCCGGTAACTAGCTAAAATTTGAGAGAGGTGACATCGAGTAAGGTACTTTTCTACGCATTTTAACTCATATTCATGTATTAGTTACAATAACGCTATGAAGTAATTATCTCCATTTTATAGTTAAATAACCTGCTTCATACACTGGTTGGAGTTCTGTTCAAGTTAATTTCATTACCCCTGCAAACTGACTTTACTCCCCGGCATCTTTTAAAACCGTTTAAGTCAAAGCTGCCCAACACTCCTGGGGGTTCAAAGCAATTACGTATTTCTGTAGTCCTACCTTGGGAGGCTGGCTTGTGGCTCCTCAGAATAATGGTCACTCCTTCTTCGGTATCCTGCTTTGCCTCCCGGACTCCATTCTTTTCCAAATCTCCTCATATTTTTAACTTTTTTTTTACCCCTACGCCTCGGCTTTCCTTTTGCCTAATTCTAACTGCCGCTTTTCTTCTAGTACCTTCTCCTCCCGTGAACTCTACCCTTACTGGCGGCACTTCCGGGGGTCTCCTATTTAAAACCTCCTTCCTCCCACGTGATCTGGATTGTTACTTGTATGCTAATGAATCTCAAGAACTCATCTCCAGCCCCCACCTCTGCTCTGAACTCAGATTCCACATAAGGATATGAACAGGAGAATGCACTACAGGCTTCTCAAACTTGTAGAGTCCAGAATTTAAACTCGTTACTTCCTCTTCACTAATATTGTTATGTATTCTTTCTGTCATTTATGCTTGTATTCTTGAAATCTTTTTGGGGGGTCCCTCCACTATCATGATTCATTCATTAATTCAACAAATATTTATTAAGTGCATGCTATGGGCCAGGCTCTATACAAGGCTCTGACTATAGAATGGAGAGCAAAATAGACATGAAGCTCACAGTGTACGGGAGTGCTAGACAATAAACAAAACATTAATGAATTACAGAGGAGTTGTGAATAACTTGCAGAATTGTGCTAATTCTTTGAAGCAACCTGGTTGTCAGTCTGTCTCTCTCCTCTGTCTCTCCTCTGTCCAAAAATTTTAACTTTCATTGCTCTATTCTCATTTTTCTAAAATTTTCCTAATTTTTAAAGACCTACTTTGGTCTGCTCTCAATTTACCTTTTCATACTTTTCTCCCATTATTTACCAACATTGGCAAAGTTAACTACTATTTCTCTCACATTGATGTTTCTCACTCTCTCTTTCTCTCTCTCCCCCTATCTCCTTCCCTTCCTCCTTCCCTCCCAATCTCTCTCTAAAAAAATAAAAAAAATAAATAAATGGAAAAAATATCCCCCGGTGAAGGTTAACAACAAAAAAAGATATTTATTGCCTTATAGGTGATTGCTTTTTCTTGATCAAAAGCTTAGAATGTGTCTGGTGTTTATTATGATTTCATTCAATCTTCCCAACCCTGGAGAGGGAAATATTATATTATCTAGATTTTTAAGAGTTTAAAGAGGTTAAGTAAATTGTCCATGATGACAAAGCTAATGGAGCTGGGATTACAACGCACAACTGTTTTGCTCTTAGACATTTTACTATTCATGCATTTATTTCTATTATGCTTATTTTGGAATGTTTGTTCCCTCCATTTATACCTGCCCTTCAGGAACTAGGACAGGTGAAGTGTTTTCTGTGAAGCTTTCCCTCATTTCATGTCCCTAGAACCCCAAAATATATGATCTGTTCTATGGCTATGAGTAGTGGCTTTTGGTGTGGGGCGACAATACCGGGAGCTACATCAGTGTTTAAGAGTACTGAAAAGGGACAGCTGGCGCGCTGCACAGCGAGTTTCGGCGGGCTCAGGTTGTGGCGCGACTCGACGCGGGCTGTGAGAGCCAGTGCAGACTCGGCGCGGCGGGCCGCACCCCCTCACCCCCGCCCTTCCGGCCAAACCTACCCCAGCCAGTGCTGAGCAGAACCCATACTCCTGGGCGGCTCATTCCCTAAGCGAACATGGAAGTCTTTCTGGGACCCTGGTGGCTCAATTTACCTCCTCCCTCCTGGGGCTGCTGCCAGCACCCTCGCTTGCACGGCCATTGTCTTTGGCTGAGGTAGCCACTGGGTCATGTTTGTCTCCAAACCAGTCACCAAAGTGGTCCTCGGAAAACTCGGGTTTTATTGGAACCCTTCTTTGATTAAAGCCCTTCGGTGGCTTCCCATTACCTTTTTCCTGTGTCCCTCTCTCGACTAGTCAGGCTCTGCCCGCTCTGGCTGCCTTTCTGTCTCTTCCGTGAGACCAGCTCCTGAGCTTTACAAGGCACTGTGCCAGGTGCTCATGGCGCAGGAATCAGAGGAGGTCAAGTAGTTACGGGATTAAAATGTGATAGAGAACACATAAGCGACCCAAGAGTGCTTGAGACTTACGTGGAGTCTGGGCCAGGTGCTCACAAACTCTGACTCTCAGTATGTTTAAGCATGGAGCACAACAGGCACATGCATAGTTGCAAGGGAAAGAAGGGGGTGCTTTCCATTAATTAAAAACATAATTGAAAATTTAAATTAAAGCCCTGGCTAGTGTGGCCCAGTTGGTTGGACTGTCCTCCCTTGTACTAGAGGGTAGCGGAGTGGATTCCTGGTCAGAGCACAAACCCAGGTTTTGGGAGGTAATTGATTGATGTTTTTCTCTCACATCAATGTTTCTCTTCTCTCTCTCTCAAATTAAAAAAAAAAAGTAATTAAAAACTTTTGGTCACTTCATTCTGGAAGTGAAGGTTGTTTGTGGATACATCCTCAGCCAGTCAGTCATTCATGTGCCCAAGAAGAGCTCTGGACAGACTCAGACTCTTTTTGCCTCTTACACTTTACTTTTCTGCCCCCTCAAAAATATTACGGCACTTGACACTTTCCACAATTTTCCAAATACTTGGCAAGACAAATTATGCAATTAGCTTTGAACTCTGAACAGGAACTCTGCAACTTCTCTCTGTGTTTAACCGAATGTTAACCAGCATGTGTGAATGATGGAGGCGTCACTGCCCCCCCCACCCCCAGGTAAAGGAAGAAAAAGCGGGGAAAGCTGAGCTAGAGGTGGAGGAAAAGCTCCGAATTTTGCACTGAATGTTTGATAAAATTTTGTGCAATTTTATTGATGTGCTACTAGGGTGGGAGATTGGGTAAACTGATAACGTAGAAAACAATGTTGGGCTGTGATTGGTTAGAGTAGTGAATCTGAGCCTTAAGAAAAGTATGTTTGGTGGAATAAGTGGGAACCAGGTGAATAAGAGAGAGTTGCTCTTTACTAATTTACTGCACATATGCAAAAAGTGGAGACAGTGACTAGTAAGGGTGTGAAAGAGCATTTCTTACAACACAGAATGGCATATTGGTTAAGCACATTGTTGACATCAATCTGAGTTTAAATCCTTGCCATGCCACTGAGTAGCTCTGTGGCCTTGGCCAAATTACCTAAACATTACATGCCTCAGTCTCTCAATCTATAAAATGGAAATGAAAATATTACTACATGTTTCATAATACTGTTGTAAGAATTAAATGAATCAGTGCTTGGCACACATTCCCTGCTTGAAGAATAATACAGTATTTTCTAACCCATAAAAGATGAGATTATGCAGCCACCTATTTCAGAGTAAAAAGTTGGGGAAGATTAGATATCTTTTGGTGTATTGAGAGGCATAAGTACAGTTCAGGAGAGGGATAGGGCCCCTGAGATAGCAGATTGTAGGAGCAATAAAGTGGGTTGGTTAGGATTACTTGTGACTGTGCTGTGCAGCCATCTTCCCTGGTCAAGTGTAAGCCTAAGGGAATTAAAGCTATTTGGAGTTACCAACATCTCTCTCTGAATCTATACCTTTCTCTGGTCTTGATAAGGCAATTCTGTTAACAATCAGAGAAGTGACCTAAGCAGTCAGCCCCTTCCTCTCAGGTCTCCATTTGGCAAACAACCTCTTCTCATTAAGTCTCATGCTCTACTGACTAAGTTAGTCAGGTACCTTTGGCCTGTTCACATTAGATAGGATTAAAAAAGTTTATTTATTCACGTACCATTCAATTAACTCATGTAAGATGTACAATTTAGTGGTTTTTAGTATATTTACAGAGTTATGCAAGCATCGCCATGAAATTTGGGAGCATTGTCCTGAAAATAACCCCTGTTTCCATTAATAG